CTTCGGTGTGCTGGGGTCAGATCAGGTGCAATTCCTGGAGTGTCTCCAGTGTTGTACCACATAGCGCTGTGGGTCAGTGAGGGATGTGAGTCGTAGTGGGGCCAGCCCTATGGTCCTTTCTGTGCATTGGCTGCTCTGAGCAGGAATATCATCCTCAGGGCTTGGTGGGCCAGGATGTGCTCCACTCTCTCTTCCTCCCCTTTCATTTGCTCCCGTGTGCTCTCATCAGACATGTCCCTCTCCCTGAGCTGTAGTGTCAGTGATGTCCTCTGAAGTAAATTCTTCTGTGGGGAGGGGGTGCTGTCCACATAGTTGGTATTGGGGCTGGTCCCTCAGACCACTCTTTTTAACTTCTGTTATCTTTGCCTGTCTATATGAAAGGGGCAGAGAGGATGGCAGGGCAACAGGTTTTAAAATAAAAAGACACCACTGACTTCATCCTTTAGTAGTACAGTTTATTTAGAATACCACAAGTGCATGGCTTTAGCAAACAGAAATTATTGTCTCACACCTTAGGATGTTAACAGTCAGAATTCCGAGTGCCAACTCTCAAGGTCCTTGTCACAATCTTTTCCCTGGGCATCACAGTCCCTTCAAAGCAGGGACCCCAGGTTCTAAGAACCTGCTTCACTCTCAGCTCATATTTCTCCATGGGGACAAGATCCCTCTGAATCTTTGCTTGTGCCTTTAGTGTCTTATGTTACAAGAGATTGACTGAAGGTACAACCTAATCTTGTGGATTGTACCCTGCTGCCTTAACTGCCTCTAATTCTCCCTCTTTTGATGAGGATTTAAGGCATAGGGATAATTACATAAATTGGAAGAGTCCTGGCCAAGCCAAGTTGACACACATTTTGAGGAGACACAATTAAATCCATAATAATGACTGACATGTAAAAAAATTATGATTCTTCATTTCTGCTTGTAGAGCCTGCCTTCTCTTGATATTCGAGAGTTGAAGAAAATACGACCCCTGGGAGCCGTGGGTTGGCAGCTTGTATGCGCAGTCCCCTGATTCTCCCATGGCAGAGAGCCTGGGGATTGGATCCAAAGGAAAAACCGGCATCCTTCTGTGTCCTCCCTGTGGCTAACCTTGCTTTCACCCTCTGCTTCGTGTTTTTTTAAGTGATCTGGTGCGTCGTGCTGAAGGAGGTGTGCACTGTTCACAAGTAATCACAGTGATCACTGGAAGGCAAGCATTGCTCTCATTTCTGCTTATGTTCTTCATCTCCTTGTCCATAAGGAAAGAAGAATAAGACTGCAATTGCTCACAAGCGGTGGAGAGATTGTTAGACTGTGTCGGAAGTCTGTTAAGCGGTAGAGAGGTTGTTACAACGGTAGAGGTCCGAAGTCTGTTAAGCGGTGGAGAGATTGTTATAATGTGCCTGAAGTCCGTTAAGCGGTAGAGAGATTGTTACAATGTCTTAGAAGTCTGTTAAGTGGTGGAGAGATTGTTACAATGTCTCAGAAATCTGTTAAGTGGTGGAGAGATTGTTACAATGTGTCTGAAGTCTGTTAAG